GTGTGTGTGTGTGTGTGTGTGTGTGTGTGTGTGTGTGTGTGTGCGTGTGTGTGCGTGTAGATCCATAGGGGAGTTTTATTTAGCTTTGACGAATTTTACAAACTAGTTGCATACGTAGCTCGTAAATAAAAACTATTAATTCCAGTACATTTTGTGTAAATGCTGTGTAAATGGCGTGGAGATGTATATTCTACTAAAGAATTTTTTGTGTGAATACTTTCCATTGATTTATGGGTGTATAATGATGGATGAATAAAATGAATGTATTTTGTATTATTGGTCACACAGGTTTTCTTATTGCTTGTTGTGTTCTTGTCTTAAATGGACACATTAATAAAATGGGAAAAAAAACTGGGTTTTGTCTGTTGTTGAATTCTCATTCACCCTGAGCTTCAATATAAATGTCAAAGTCAATTCATTTACATAGCACATAAAAACAACATGAGTTGACCAAAGTGCTTCACAATTCAGCCCAGTAAATGAATAAAATGACAAAGTAACACAAAAATGCTTAAAAAATAAGTAAGATCAGTTTAGAAAATAAAAATACAACATTAAAACATTAGCTTTAAAAGAATGTCAAACTGTACCAGAATGAAAGACCAAAGAGTAAAAGTGAGTTTTAAGCATAGATTTAAAAATCACAACAGTCTCAGCAGTCCAGATACCAAAAAGGTAAGCCATACCAAAGGTTTGGGGCAGAAACTGCAAAAACCTGATCACCTCTAAATTTTAGTCTAGACATCCAAGAGAAGCTGGTTGGATGACCTACAGTAAGGGCTCGAACTGATGTGTGGATGTTAATGAGATCACACAGGTAAGATGGGGCCGGACCTTCCTTACCTTTGGGATCTCATTAAATCTTGTTTCAGATGTTAAAAGCTGCTGTTGTGATTTCAGGTTTGGACCCAGGACTTGACACGTAAAGGAAGCCAAAAAAAAAACATTTTATTATTAACAAATACACGTGGCAGCTTTGCAAAACTGGAGGGTAACCACAAGGAGCACAAGGAAACCTATACGTGGCATGTGAAATGCTCGATTGGTGAGAGGTAAAACTGCCAAGGCTATGTGGGCTACGGAATTGATAGGAAGAGTGGCTGCAGCTGTGCTAAATGCAACAAAGTGCAGGTGTGAGTGGGCGTGGCAGATCTGGCTGATGAAGCAGGAACTGACAGAGGAGAGGCTGAAAAGAACCTAAAAGGACTGGTAAGATAAAAATGCAAGTCACGTAGCCCAAAAATCACAAGAAAATGTTGATTGAAAGAAACGTAATAAACATGACTCAGTGCTCGAGAGCATGAAAAACTCAACCACATAGTTTTGGGGCGCCCTGTCTTTGAAATTATCAACCTGAATGAGTTGATGGATTAGTATTAGTTATCCATTTTTCCCTCAAATCATTCATCAAGAGCAAAAACAACAGTTCTTCCTGTTGTCAGGAAACAGGGAAAAGGAGCAGTAAGTACAATAAATTTACAGAACAGTTTGCATGAAATATTAAACATTAAACATGTGTAATCTTTCAGTTTAATCAAAATGATATTCTTCCTCCTCAATTTGAAGTAAAAAAGCTATATACAACAGGTAAGATATTTTTTCATAAAATGCAGGATTTAAGAGGGATCTCATTCACACCTTTTTTTCAAAAAAGTAAAAAATAAGCTTTTAAACTTGTAGCTGTTCTCACTCTGTTAATGCTTTTTTTCTTTCTACAGCCCATACAAAAACTGGAATTTGTTGCTCTAATATATAT